GGGAAAGTATTGGACTTGGCCAGCATGGGAAATTACATGGTCGAGAGAACTGCAGTGCTGAGGCTGACTGCCTGGCAGCGGCGTGGAGGTAGGGAACAGAGAAAAGGCAATGAACTGAAATCGTTGCCTCCCCTCCAGTGACCAGAATAAAATCCATAGCTGGACACAGCCCATGCACAGGTAAAAAAATAAGTCTGTTTGTCCCCAAAATGCTGAACAGTCTCATATATTCAGTTCCTGATGCACCCTGACACAACTGTGCTTCCCCGACTGTGCCTCCTTGCCTGCAAGGGGGTCCAACCCCGCGGCTCCTGGGGACGCACCTTTCCCTCACACTGGGCTAAAATGCCCCCGGCCAGTTTGCATCCCCATTTCTCTGTACAAGTGACTTCATTTTCTGTATTTACACCTTTTCCAGTCCATGAGTCGTTAGCAAATATTGGACAGTTTGAACCTTGTATTGATTTCTTCTTCCCTTTTTCATGGAAGTGTCGAGTGTTGTCAAGTCAGATTCATTACTGAGGAGTGAATACTTTATATCGCCATCAGCAATGAACCATGCGCTGCAATCAAAGAAAGACATCAAAGTGATTTATTTCAATTATATTTATTTCCTGTAATTTTTTGTTCATTGAGTCCTTTATCAGCTGTTCCACATTTTTGCCAAGGATCAATTTCAAGCTGTAAATCTGTAACAGTATTAGCCTTATAAATACTTTGCTCTCCCAGTCTGCCTTTATAAATACTGGAACAACTTCAGCCCTCCAGTCTTCTGCAACTTCCTCAGCACTTCATTGTTACTGAAAATAATGGTGATTTAAAGAGCCCTTTGGCCACCTCTTAAATTCGATGGATATGCTGGCAGTTTCGTGATGTTCAGCCAGGATCTATTGAGTTGGGGCTGCAGATTTTGCCATGGATGTTTCACCCCACTGTTCTCACACGGAGCATTAACGATGCCCGTATCATGATCACCATGACTTTGCTGTTGTACCGATGCAGGCAAAATAAAGGATCCAAGAGTAAAATGGCAACGAGCCCCTCTTGAACAAAGCAGCTCAAATCACTACATTGCAAAAATCACTTTGACACTTTGTCAGTTGTACCTCACCGTAGCAATCGCTGGAACTAACAGCCATTAATTACCTTTGTCAGGTGAAATTTCCTTAATTGCCTGCAACTTTACTTCCAGGAAACTCCCACTTTCAGCTCTGCTACCAGTTTAAAGGCCATGTCTCCTGGTGGTAATTTTTAGGAAAAGTCCAGGAAAATTAACAGAGGATGAAGTCATGTGTGACCCACCTGTGGCTGTGGAGGATGGACACGTGTCCTGGGGTCACCTGTCTGACCTGCCTGCATGGAGAAGAAAGGGCAGCAGGATGGGGGTGGAGGAGTAAGGTGATCAGCCAACCTGTCATCCAAGGGCATTCTTTTGTGACCTTTTCTTCTCCCTAAAAAGTAAAGGAAAGACAGTAGCAGACTTCCTGGAGAGCTGCTGCTCCTTGAACCTTGACCATGTGCACCCAGCGTTGCGAGGAGACGTTCAGCAGACAGCATTGAGCATGTGCCGTGCAAGTTCCCTTACAGATGTTCATTGAACTGTCAGAGCATCAGGAGGAAAATAAATTAATTCTAAGTGGAAGAAGGTTAGTTAAATATTTTCTGGAAGTATTATATAGCCATTAAATCACATAGGAAACTCAATAATAATGGGTAATGATGTTCTTCCAAGGAATTAAATAGAAGCCCCATTTATAATGCTGCTCAGCATTCAACCCAGTGTTCCACCTTCCTGGTACATGATAAACATTTACTAATTAATCCTCACAAAGGCAGATCTCTTCACACCACTGATTCTGTTTTGTAAATGGGAACAAGAAGGTACAAGATACATCCTTTGAAGCTGGGGTTGTGTATGTCTTCAAACATGATTTGGGTCTCTGGCAGCCCACTCGACACCTGTGTTTGAATACTGAGAGGTTTGTAAAAAGCCTCGGAGCCAGGATCAGAAGTCAAGGTTTCTTTGTGCCCCTTCACTGTGCTCCGACCATCACAGCATGTTTCGATATGATTCTTCAGCACAGTCTCCAGAATACTGATATTTTTCCTGCATAATCATATTACATCGCTAGACAAAAAGTCAATGGTCTTAAATCTCAAGTAAAAGCAGTAGGAATTGGTCCATAATGTAGTTGCTAATAAAATTCAAAGGAATAAATCTTACGACCACGTGGAAGCTGTTATTTTCAGAAGATCAATAGGGATTGTATAGGAGCTGTCAAATAAATGTGTATATAATTTACACCAGGATGGTGGACTACCCATGACCATAGACAAATTAGAATTTAGTGTCATTTTAAGGTTCTCTCCTGTCTCCTTGTCACCACTTAAGGAATAGCATGAATAAACACAGGATACAATGAAAGGGAGCTTCCTCCCAGCACCAAACAGCAGTGAAAGTAGGGATCTTTCCCACTGATTTCAGTTTAAAGTGCATCTACTTACACAGGATAATAATTTGAGTTTCCAGTTGATTCCACAGCCTGTGCAAGGCTCCCACACAACACAGATAGAGAATCTGCAGTACTCATCAAAGAGCAAATAAGAACAGGGATGGACACAGCCAGGACTGCAACGGGGTTGGGTAGACATGATGTTATGTGTTGGAATGGTGAACTAAAGTCCAACTTCCCAGTTAATCCACGCTTCAGTGTTTAAAGTGTTGCCGTGGTGGCCTAACAAGTAGTCTCCTGCTTTCAGGCACCACCAAGCTTAGCTGAAGGTCTGGCTTGGAAAAAGAAGCATTTTTTCCAACTCATTTTTGGCTAAACAACCTTTGACATGACAAAAGTAGTGAGTTCCAAAAAAGAACAACTCTGCATTGGTGATGTCCAGAGAAATCAATGCAACCTTTATATCCTCAGTAAAAAAACAGCAGCTCAAGAGTTTATTACAATTTTTGATACGTCAGAGATGTCACTGATAGTACTTTAAAATATGTAACAAAGAAAGAAAACACTCTTTACTTGCTGTAGAGAGATTGTCCGTGGTTAGCACAGCTCAGAGACTCTTTCAGGGGAGTTAGAAGATTGCTCCCATCCTACCCATCTTCTCCTTGAACTAACTAACATTAAAACTAGGCTTTTACAAGACAAGTCATGCTAGATAAAATTCCGATTCACTTGAAATAACTGAGAATTTGTCCATTGCTCTCAATGAGGGCAGGATTTTACCTAATATTGCTAACAGACTTTTATTAAAAAGTGTTGAAAAAGATCTCAGGGGCCATCCGATTTCTCCTCTTGCCAGCTGCCTTTATGTCAGTCCTGATGGATGTTTGTCTGACTGGTCCTGAAAGAGCTGCAACACTTGGCAGTACCTTGAGCTCTGCTTCCATTTTCACCTGTCCCGAGATATGAAAAGGAAAAGGACTTTTATTACCAACTCTACTGGGATTTTTGACTGGTTTAAAGGACAGTGACAATTTTAACATCTGATGTCTCATGATCTGCTAAGGATAGGAACTAATCCTGCTCTCCCCCAAGGAGCTTTCCCATGATTTATTGACAATTTTCCCTTTTATCTCTTCTTCTTGAGATATCTGACATGAAATCATGTCGTTCTGATTCCTGTCTTGTTTTTTCCTCCACCATTTCAGTTCTGGTCTGACTTCGGTGGGTGCCCTCTAAGAACCGATAGTTAAAACTAACGCTTTTCTTTATCTGAAGACCTGTCAGTCTTCCAGTGGTGCAGCATAAAGTGTGTAATTTTAATTCTAGGAGTGAAATGCCAACTACTATAATTATGTTTGCAACATGGAAAGGCAGGGAGGCAGGAGAGCAATAATGACCAGGCAGGACTGGAGCCTTAGGGGGGCTGGGGAAGGAGGGGTGGGCAAAGGAAGAAATATTTTAGTCTGGTCCTCGCAGCAGAGCACCTCTATGGTTTGGTTATCCTTACAGAATGAAACATCACTGGTTATTAACTGCCCTTTGCCTGCAATCCAGAGCTCACACAAACAAAGTGGGGTCTTTGCTTTGGTTTCAAGAAGCTCTGAATGGCACACAGAAGCAGTAAAACACAGCTCCTCATTGCTAGGCAATTCGAAATGCACTCCTTGCATCCCCGGCAACTACAGGAAACCTGCCCCACAGCTGCTCAAAATACATTTCTGGTTAAGAATGGGAAACACAGACACATATTAACATTTACAGGTGGCATTTCTGAAAGTAAAAGTCTGAGGCTTACATGTAGCAGTCAGAGAATGAGAGGCAGAGTTCTCATGCATTCTCTCTCATTCCACAGTACACCATGCATTAAGTTTTCACAATAAATATTATTTTTTAAAAACTTGCTACACAGAATCCAATAGCAAATAGTACAATTCGTTCTTGATAAAGCATGTGAGAAAAGGCTTTGTACTTGGTGTCTGTTCTTAACCCTTACTGAGGGTTTTATTTCCAAATATAAACACTTAACAGTCTCCACTGGTGAAAGACAAGACCGACAGCCTTTCCAACCAAGCCATAAGACATCTAGTTTTACATATAATCACAAAACCTCCTGACGTTAAGGGGTCCCATCACATGGGACAAAGTTGATTAATGCTGTGAGGGATAGGCAGCAGTGGGCCAAACCAGAGGTTGCAATGCGACTCTTTGTCAGAAGACTCCTCTGCACCATTACCATCACGGAGCAGTCCCAAGAACATCACTGGGAAGGTGGGAGGAAAGCAGCGGGGCACTGGATGCTGTGCTGCTGGCCAGAGAAAGCCTTACATGCTGCTTGTAGGGAAAAAAAAAAGGTAAAATAGCAACTGACTTAAAGGCTGGAATGGAGAGTCTGCATAGGAACCAGGACCGTTGCTGGGACATACGACCCATGGGGATGTGTCTTTAGCATCACCTTGGTATCTGTGGCTTTGAACTTCCTCAACAGTTTGGTAGGATTCATTGAGAGGTGAAATCAGCCTCCTGGGACAGTGGAAAATCTTCTTCTCTTCAGTGCTGCCTAAAAAACAGGTTCCTGAAGGCATTGTTGTAGTTTTTGTTGAAAGCAGTGTAGATGAGTGGATTAAAAAAGGAATTTGAATAGCCTAGCCATAGAAAAATACTCTTCCAAATGGGTGGGATGTTGCATGAGCAGAGGGGGTTGATAAGCTCTGTGATGAAGAAGGGGATCCAGCAGAGCACGAAGACCCCGATAAGGATGCCCACCATGAGGGCAGCTCTCTTTTCCTTCTGCTCTCTCCACGTGTCCCCATCTGTCTGGAACGTAACAGTGGCATGACGGACAGTGAAGACCATCTGTGGCTGCTGGGCAGCTTCTTTTACCTGCCAAACACAAAGACAAATTGCACCATATGTGCCTCAGTCGGCTGATCCCACATGGCAGGTACACAACCAAACTACGCAAGTGATGGGCAGAGCTCGTGGGGCAACGCAAGCCATCCACGTCACACTCTAATGGAGGGGAGATTGGTTGTGTGATCCTCTGGGTAACAAAGACTATTTTTAAGTGAGACTAGAAACTAAAGTAGTGATACATGGACACATGGAATTGCTCACACAGCATCGCTATAAGATTATTTCCCCATTTACAGTCAGATCAGTAGAACAGGCGCACACCCACCTGCTGTGCCTAAAAGTCTCCTTGCTTTCCCTGAAACCATTGAGTTTAAGAGCCCTTGTAGGAGAGGTAAGAAAATGAGCATACATTTTCCTCCTCCTCCCAAAAAGTCTTTACAGTGCACAGTCACCACACCTGGGACAAACTGACACAATCAGGAAGGATTTACAAGGATGCTCTGCACATGTCTTCCATGTGGGTAAATTCACAACCTCCCCAAAGCCACAGCCGCTCGCCAGGTTATCGTCCCCTGCTGAGACAGGATCCCATCCATTCACACCCCCACACGCGAGGAACGGTGACCCCTTACTCACGCTCGCGAGCACTGACTCAGCATTCCACGGGGGGACATCTGTGAGTCACCACACACCCACATGGAGCTCTGGCTCGCAATCTGGCCCAAAGTTGCTTTAACTACACCTTGTGTGCTCACAGCTGGGGACTCGGAAGGAGTTAAAAGACCAGGCTTGCAAGCTTTGCAGCCCACTTTCCCCTGAAAGCCTTCAGGATTCCCTGGTTTTTGGTGGGATGCTGTTTGCTTGCACACTTTAGCTCAAAGTTTCCCCCACTGCTGCAAGGGATTGGCTGCTATCATCAGTTGACTAGAGCAAAATACAACTGAGGTGACCTACCTCCAGGGCTTCTGGTGTAATGGGAGTGATGGAATTGCTCTTAAAAAAAAATCCAATGCGGAACTTGGCAGCCTTGTAGATCTTCCAGTACACAAAGAGCACCACGCAGAGGGGCAGGTAGAAGGCGCCAAAGGTGGAGAAGATGGTGTAGGAAGGCTCCTGGCTGACTTGGCACTTCTCGCTGTCCTCTGAGTAAGTCTCTCCCCAACCAAAGAGCAGCGGGGCCAAGGAGATGAAGGCGGAGAGCACCCAGGTGAGGGCAATCATGATGTTGGAGATGCGGCGCCGGGTGCGGAGCGTGTACTCCAGGTGGCGGGTGATAGA